TATATATATTTATATTTATAAATATATACACATTGGATCAAATCTTCTCGAATCGGATAGGGGGGGTGATCTGAATCCAATCCGATGATCCGACCAGGTGTGATCCAAATGCAACCAAATAGGATCAGATCTCGAATTGGATCGGATCATGATTCGATCCATTTGCACCCCTATCTACACATGGTCTTTTGAACCTGATTTTGTACATGAATCTCTTGTAAAAGACCTCTCTACTTAATAGAAGCTTTGTTTTTATCTTAAAAAAATTATATATATCTATATCTATACTACTAATAAAAGAGCAAATTATATATATCTATATCTATACTACTAATAAAAGAGCAAATTATATTTTTACCCTTATTTTTACCCTCACTCCAAAAACTGTCCACTTATAACTGTTCAAAAACTGTGCACTTATGACAGTTAAGAAACTGTCCACTTATAACTATTCAAAAACTGTCCATGAATTGTAAATAGTTTTATTTTGGATATACTGTCACGTGTAAATGCATGTACATGTTTATTAGTATATATATATGGGCGGATCTATGTAGAGCTTAGTGTGGGCAATTGCCTCCACTGAAATTTGAAAAGGTTGTATACATATATAAATGAACTTAATTTTTTTCACAAATGCCCCCACTCAAATAAATTAGTTGGGGTCAAAATAGAAATTTTAAGAGTCCTAAGAGGTGAGGCTAGCCAATTAGAGAAAAAGAATAGCTATTTTAAAATAAATTATCTTAAATAAATACACAAAAGTAGGGCACAAATGGAGCACCCTTGAGGAAACTTGAATGAAAAAAAAAAGTTTGGGGGGTTTTTCTTTTCCACTTTGTTGTTGGTGTTAATTTTCCAAAAAAAAAACTGTAAAAATAAGCTTATCAAGGAAAAAGAAGTAAAAAACAAGTATTTCAGTTTCTCTCTCTTCTGTTTCATACTTTCTTGTCATTCAATTTTACGAGTTCTATTAATCTTGCTTCAACCTTAATGTTCTAATTGTCATAAAATGTTTAGAGTGAAAATATTTTAATTTCATTTTTCTATTTTAATTAATTATTCAAATATTATGATTATATGATAACGTCTGCCCCCACTAACCAAATTTCATATATGTATGTATACACTTTTTTACCCAACCCACATAACCCACCTAATCCATTTACTTGATGGATTGTAGATGCATTCAAAGCTCATTTTAGCGTCTGTTTGGCATCAATGCCATTGCTCCAGAAAACAGTGTCACATCAGCACCATATTGAAAAAAAAATGGGCATTTGTCTGGAACTGTTTTTCCATAAAAAATGGGGCTCCAAGCCATGCCTTAGAAATTGGGAAGGCATAATTTGGAGCAACGCTGAATTTGGCATTTTCTAGAGTTGCAATTCGTTGTTACCAACATGGATGTGAGGTGGCAGTGATGTGGCACTGGATAATGGGTACCGGTGATGAAAATGTTTCCTGGAGCATTGATACCAAACAGAAAACGTTGATGTTGCTCCAGGAAACATCCTACCTGGCAGCAACTTTTCAAACAAAAAAAGGCACCATTTTCTCAGAAAACGATACTTCCAACCCACACATTAGCAACACCGTTTTCTGAGAAAATAGTGCTGCATCTTGATTGGGTGGCTGGTACCCATTCGGATAGCCAGCAATAAGCAATTTAGGGTCCGCATTTCCCAAAGGGAGTCCAATTCTAGTCTATATATGTACAACCCACTTGAAATTGGGTCCAAAAATAAAAGTGGATATCATGTACTCCACAATAATGAGAGATAGAATGCTGAAATTTATTTGTAAGAAATAATTCAATATCACTTTTTAATTAAATTTATGTGATAAGGCCCATTTATGTGGCCCATATCCTACGCTGCCATGTGTCAATCAAGGAACTCGTTCATGACCCAAATTGGCCCAGCCACCGAACTGACCAACCTCATCCGAACCCCTCTAGCATGCCTAAATCTATCTATACTACTTATAAAAGTATGAATAAGGAGGTATTGTCTTTTGGATTTTTTACTGAAATACCCCTCCTCTTGGATTTAATTCATCTCTATTGAAAGGGAAAAAATGTAATTAAAAAAATACCATTCAGTATATTCAATTACATCTCATTAAGTCTCACATTTAAGTCATTAAATAAATCACATTCTCTCTCATTGAATCCAACTTTTATACTTTTGTTTATTATCATTAAATTCTACTAATAAATCCATATACAATAATTATTAATATAATAAAATTTTATATTTTTAAAATAAACATAGAAATGAAATCATATTTTTATTCTAGGTGGTGGGTAAGTAGTTCAACCATTTCGGTCAAATGGATAATTTCATGATGTCATAAATAAATAATACAAATTTAGAAATATAAAAAATACTTTTGTTTATCATCATTAATTTCCACTATTAAATCCATACACAATAATTATTAATATAATGCAATTTTATATTTTCAAAATAAACCTAGAAATGAAATCATATTTTCCATCTAGGTCGTGGGTAAGTACTTCAACCATTTGGATCAAATGGATAATTTCTTGATGTCATAATAAAATAATACAAATTAAGAAATATAAAAAATACAAAAAATATTGAAAAAAATTGTAAAAAATTGGACACATTTCTATTATTATATATTTGTCATATTAAAAAATAATTATGATAAAATATACATAATTTTATTAATGATAGACATCAAATATACAACTTAAAACCGATGGGAAACTAAACCATCTTCCTATCTAGGGGGTGGGTTAGTGGTTCAACATTTCAGGTCAAATAGGTTAACCCATGATTTATAGTTAAAAATAATTTTTTTAAAATAGAATAGTACAAAAAATGAAACAATTTTGGGCACAACTATAATATTATATACTAATAATATAAACAAAAATAAATATGATAAATAATAATTATTTTATCAAAGATATAAATGAAATGCAAAATTTAAAACTAGTTTGAAAATGAAACCATTTCCATATCTAGATGGTAGGTAGGTCAATGATCTAACATTCCGGGTCAAATGGGTCAATCTATGATGTCATAACTAAGTGGTGGGTTAGTTGTGGGTCAATCTATGATGTCATAACATTCCGAGTCAAATGGAATACATGATTTAAAATCAAACAAAAAAGCAAAATGGTTTTTCCATCCATATGGTGGGTTAGTGGTTAAACTATTTGTGTCAAATGAATGTTATTATTAAATAATAAAATACACAAAATTCTAGAAAATGTAGAAATTTGTCAATATTTTTGGGTATATTCTATAATATTATATATTCATCATATAAAAAAGTGTGATTAATGAGAACTATTTTCATTAATGATAGAAATGGGATAAAACTCAGGATAAAAAATAAAGAGCATTAATGTCTAACACATGACCCGACTAACCATGTCAAACGATTCAATAATTTAATTAGCTAGGTCATCGTAGGCAAGTGGTTTGGTAGGGATGCAAGCAAATCATATCAAATCTAATCTAATCCAAAGATTCAATTGAATCTCATAAATATTTATTCGAATCTAAATCCAACCAAGATGTCAGATATTCAAATATGATACGATCTGATTTAATTTTTTAAAAAAGTAATAAATTATTAGAAGAAAAAGAAAAATATAACAATTGAAATAAATTAAAAACAAAAAAATATAAGTATTTTTTCAACTATTTCCATCATATAAAAAGTTTACAAAAATGCAATATAAATAACATATTTATAAATAAATAAATAATAAATAACATATATATTATATATAAATAATATATATACTATATATGTAAATAATATATATGTAAATAATTGATTTGACCACAATTTTAAAAGCCAATGTTCAAACAATATTTTGGAATTGTGTTTCCTCTTGGTAAATAAGTAATATATTGAAAAATGACAATTATTGTTAGTAAAGATAGAAATGACTAAAATACAATGAAAAAAATGAATTAATGTCTTAATCATAGTCCATTTTCCTTGTTAAATAGGTTAATGACTCAACTAGTAAGGTTCTTTGGTTACTGATTATCATCATCATCATCATTTGATACTGGCACGTGCAAAAATAAATGCGAAAATAAGAATTACATTTTTTGATGATGAAAATGTAATACATGATTTAAAATCAACTGAAAAAGAAAAAATGGTTTTTCCATCCAAGTGGCAAATTAGTGGTTCAACTATCTATGTCAAATGGATCAACACATGATGTTATTATTAAATAAAAAAATACATAAAACTCTAGAAATTGTAGAAATTTGTAGATAATTTTGGGTACATTCTATAATATTATATATTCATACAACAAGAAAATTGGCTTTTGGCAACAGTAAAAAATTGTTCCCAATATAGGAGAAAATGTTGCCTAATGTTTTAGTTACAAGTGAACAAGGTGTGGTTAGCGAAGCCGTTGTTAAAACTTTTTAACAACAATCAATTGTTGCAAAATATACTATTCACAAGAGTTGGACCAATTGTTGGCAGCAATAGTGTTTGGCCACAACCAATTGAAATTGTTGCCAAATTTTTTGTTTCAACAACAATTAATAAAAATCGTTGCCCATGTAATTTTTTTACGACAATCATACTACCTGCTAACAATTGAAAATTTGTCTCTAATTAGCATCTTAGGCAATAACCCTACTAGATAGTAGTTGAACAAGCAACAATCAAGCAATTGTTGCCCCAAAGGTTCATATACAACAATCATGTTAATTGTGAAAATTTGTCTTTAATTAGCATCTTAGGCAACAATCCTTCTAGACTGTTGTTGAACAAGCAACAATCAAGCAATTGTTGCCCCAAAGGTTCATATACAACAATCATGTTAATTGTTGTCAATTTACAATTGGCAACAACTAGACAATTGTTTCTTTTGCTTATTTATGGCATAGATTTTCCAAACTGTTGTTGAAGTAGCAACAATCAAGCAATTGTTATCTTTAACTGTTGCAAATTATCAATTTAATTGTTGTTATCTTCACATTGAATATCAGATTTCCATCATATCGAAATAGTAAAAATTCATTATCTAGTATAGAGTGATCTACTAAAAAATCCTGCCACCCTTCCCCTAGATATATGCCACTTGAAGTCTATCTTAATTTGACGAACCAAAGATAACCACTACGATCTTCTAGGATTGCTCTTCCAGCTGCTTTTTTCGAAATGTGCCTCGTAAAATTTGGAGGAATCCGCTACAAAACAACAGAGAAAGAAGAAAAAAAAGAAAAGAAGCTCATCATTCAGATTCAGTTTTAGTAAAGCATTTTCACATATTAAAAACTAGAAATGCCAAGAAAAGGGGAAATGAATTAACAGAAGTAAAAGATTGAGAGTACCAATTGTTGGGTGGGGAGCCCCGGTAGCAAAATCTTGAAGAAGTAAGGCTTCTTGTCTTGACATGAGCTATTTTCACTCCTCTTCACCATCTTTGTCCTGAAGAAGTGAAGGTGCAGACCGAACAGTAATAGAAATTAGATGAAGGTAAAGCAGGAAGCAGGATGACAGGAACTGAATTTGTAGAGGCAGAGTGGTCCATTAACTAGGAAATAAGTAATGGTCCATTAACTCCCTATATCATGGAAACAGTTAGTCATCAAAATTAGACCCCTAAAATTTAAATTTGTGGAGTTGTAAAAGAAATTTAATTAGCTTCTCTACCTTGTGGGGTTTATAGGGAAAGTTCCTATGTAAACTAAAGCATTTTCTCATGAGTTCAGAAAGAAATTTAATTAGCGGCATGAGAGCACCATCAATCTTCTCATGAGTTTTGAAAAAGTATCAACACTCGACACCCAACACCCATTCACCCACTCACTCACACTTTTGTCTCTGGTAAGTGGAGTGGTATCAAGTGAAAACGGGATGGAATGTGGAGAGATCGGTTGGGAGAATCATGGTTTGGTTTCCCTTCTCTGGAGACTGGAGGCAAAGTACAACACGGCAAAGGATGCTATAGAGAGGGTGGAGGGGTCTCACGGGTATTATAAATACTAAATAGCTGGAGACATCTCAGTCTTCTTACAAAATTGAATGAGGTTTTCTTTTCCGTTTTTGGAAAAGTTTAGATTGTTATTTGAGGCTTAAATGTTGGCCTTAAAAGGGTGGTTGACAGGATGACCTTTTCTTTTTCTGTTTCTGATAAACAACCCATCAGAAGATCCCCATAATTCCATGTCTGGGAACCTAGTTACTTACAAATGACCAGATCAGCTGTTGAGAATCCCTCTATTTCTTCATCCAAGCCAAGCAGCATGATACGGTTCCAATCAATACCCGACTCCATTATCCGGATATGGACGGATCATGGGTAGGAAAGAAAAGCCAGCCATTCATATAGGTTTGTTTTATTGAAATCTACAAGGAAAGCCAATACTACAAACAGGAGACTAGGGTCTTCCGTCACCGGAGGCCAGCGGATTGAATTTGGATGTAGTCCCACTACATTATATGAGAAAACTGTATTCATATATGAGACCAGACTTCCTCAAAAATGCCAGCAAAAGAGAAGAAAGAAGAAGAATCCCCATTGCCGTTGCAAACTATTCTTCCTTTAGTTCCTTCCTGGTTTGTTTTTCCTTAACATTTGTTATTTAACTTTTTTTTTTTTTTGTAATTTCCAAAGTTGAAATACAACAAAATTGCAGAAAATGATTAAGGTCTATTTGTGAAACAAAGAATTTTGGACCTCCATGATCCACACAATATGTTTAAGGACAGATAAGAAATAATAATCTATAATCATACCTCTCTCCTATTTTAAAAGGATTTGTTTTTTTTTTCTCCCTTCTTTTCCCCAGTTTCTTTTACCATGTTTTTTATGTTTTTACCTCTCCTTCTTTTCTGTTCAAATTCTAATTGGTGGTGGCAGAGGAATGGTTTCTGTATCTTTTAGCAGAGCCCATGCAGCAATAACAGTAGAAGTAAAGCCAGGAGATGGGAATTCATTACTGCTTTAAATATAAATAAATATACTTCTTATCAAAATAAACTTTTCAAAAAAGAAATAGTCCACTACATATTCATGTGCAACCCATCACCATTCTTCTTTTGACTGCACTGGGTTGGATCAAAATATATTAGTTGGATCAAAATATGCACTGGGTTTGTTGGCAAGTTCAACCATGAACCAAAGCTTTGCCAAACTGCAAAAATAAATACAGAAATAGATAGAAAAGGAATGTTTTCTTTTTGGAGGGAAAAGAAAAGGTTTCATACCTTGATTCTCCTCATCTTATCAGTAAACATAGAATTAAATTCAAATACATCACTTGAAGAGATAGCCTTATTATCTGGCTATTTAATCAAAACTTTGTACTTTGAACATGAAAGTGAATGTAGCAGTTTCTTAACTTCTTGAGAGGGCAGCTTCAACTGTGACATGATCTCAGGAAAACTGAGCCTCTCTGAAGGAGATGGACATAAGAAAGAAATCAGAATTTTAGAGACAACATACCCAAACCAAGATCAATGAAAAATAACTTCTTTTCATCAAAAGTTCCAGGTTGGTCAAGTAGAAAGTTTTCTGGCTTCACGTCTCCATGTACAAACCTAATGAAGAAAAAGAAAATATACAAAAGGGTAAAAACTTCCTAAGAACAGATTAATCATCATCCAAAAAGACTAGAACTTAGAACTAAGTAGTACCCTTTCAAGTGAAATTTCTCAAGGATTGATATTGCCTCCACATTAATGAGAATTATTTTCATTAATGATAGAAATGGGATACAAGTTAGGATAAAAAATAAAGAGCATTAATGTCACACATGACCCCATTAATCATGTCAAATGGTTTAATGATTTAATTAACTAGGTCATTGTAGGCACGTGATTTGGTAGGGATGCAAACAGATCGAATCGGATTTGAATCAAGGTATATTCGAATTCGATTCGATCCGGAAATTTGATCGGATCTCATAAATATTTATTCGAATCTGAATCCGATCAAGATGTTGGATACCCGAATCTAATACGACCCGATTTAATTTAAAAAATAATAAATTATTAAAAGGAAAATAAAATATAATAGCTGAAATAAAGAAAAACAAAAAAATATAAGTATTTTTCAACTATTTTCATCATATAAGAAGTTTACAAATATGCAATATAAATAACATATTTATAAATAAATAATAAATATCATATATATTATATATTATATATTAATGATATATATATAATTGATTCGACCACAATATTAAAAACCAAATATTCAAACAATATATTGGAATTGCATTTCCTCTTGGTAAATAAGTAATTTTTATTATCTCATAAATTAAATAATAAAAATAAAATACAAAATTTTTTATAAATTTTATGAAAAAAATTGAATATGCATTAATATTATATATTCTTCATATTAAACAAAAATATGTTTAAAAAATAAGAATTATTGTTAGTAAAGATAGAAATGGCTAAAATACAAAGAAAAAAAATGAGTTAATGTTTTAATCATAGTTCATTTTCCTGGTTAAATAGGTTAATGGTTCAACCAATAAGGTCATTTGATTGCTGACTATTATCATCATCATCATTTGATATTGCCGCGTGCAGCACACGTACATTTTTACTAGTCTTGATAAAGACAATTACCGAGAAGCTTGGGTCAAACTTGGAGTCATCTCCTTAGTGAACACGACACCTCCTTTATAAATAGGTGAGACACCCCAAGAAAAGTGCAAACTATTGGGAAAGGGTAGATACATTATTCTGGTAGATAATCATTGCCAAGTCCAAACCTTTGTCATCTAACTCCTAAAATAAGGAGACAAGTCCAAACCTTTCACACAAAGCCAAACTACGCACAAACTGCATCAAAGATACAACAGGCAGTGATCCCATCGTAAAGAAGAAAACAAATAAACAATGTAAATGAACATTGGATGGAGAAAAATATATATATAAAATTAAACATGTTGCACTCATTTTTTTTGCCACTCACCTATAAATTATTATGTTAAATTGAACCGGATCTACCATGTCCCAACTAATTGATAGGTACCCAATAATGAATATCTACCAGAATAATGGACAACTTGCAAGTCTATGGTTATTACTACAAAAGCTGAAGGGTAGATACATTATTTTGGTATATAATCATTGCCAAGTTCAAACCTTTGTCATCTAACTCCTAAAATAAGGAGACAAGTCCAAACCTTTCACACAAAGCCAAACTAAGCATAAACTGCATCAAAGATACAGACAGTTACAATTGCAAGATATTTAATCATTTCCAATCCAAAAATAAATAAAATTAAGATATTTACCATAGATACATTATTCTGGTAGATAATCATTGCCATTAAAATAAAAATTTTGAAGCATTTGAAACAAGATTCGGCAGAACATTACCTCTCGAAAATCCCCTGTTTCTTTGGTCGAGTAGCTCTTTTAGAAATGGAAGTTGTGTGTACTCCAAGGCATGGACAAATTCCATTTATATAGATCTCGAGATAACTGCACTCCCCGTTCGTGAGAGAAATTGTGGGAGAGTTCATCCTCTAATGGGCCATTTCGTGGGAGATAACGTCTTCGTGGAGGATAGGGTACGAATGACTAAGGGTTTGAAGGAGAAACCGAACAGGGAGAAATTTAAGAGAGGTTAGGAGAAAAGAAAATAGTGGAAGTTAGAGTGTTCTTCCTCGGTTTCGAGAGAGAAAACGAAGAAGGAGAACATACCAAAATAATCGGAAATAGTGGAAGTTGCAATGTTCTTCCTCGGTTCTGAGAGAGAAATCGAAGAGGGAGAACGTAGTGGGAGAGTGTCTCAACGAAACAGACACAGCAACATGAACAGAATGGAAAATTGCAATTTTGCCCTTCAATATCTAGCCAAACGGTTAGACAAAGAAGGGTAGTACATGTCCACCGGAATGTCCAGAATGGAGAGCTATTCGCTCATATATACACATACATGATTGATTCGACCACAATATTAAAAACCAAATATTCAAGCAATATATTGGAATTGCATTTCCTCTTGGTAAATAAGTAACTTTTATTATCTCAGAAATTAAAATAATAAAAATAAAATATAAAATTTTTATAAATTTTATAAAAAAATTGAACATGCATTAATATTATATATTCTTCATATTAAACAAAAATATGTTTGAAAAATAAGAATTATTGTTAGTAAAGATAGAAATGGCTAAAATACAAAGAAAAAAAAAATAATTATTGCCACATGCAGCGCACGTACATTCTTACTATTCTTGATAAAGACAATTACCGAGAAGCTTAGGTCAGACTTGACAGTCGTCTCCTTAGTGAACATGATACCTCCTTTATAAATAGGTGAGACACCCCTAGAAAAGAGCAAACACTATTGGGAAATGGGGCCACTAAAACTTGGAGAAGAAGCTTTGAGGCGAATCTGAAGACATTGTCTTTAGAATGTTATTTGCCCCCATTCAGTTTCATTGAGTTTGTTGTTGGGTTACAGGCAAATCCGTTCTTAGGATACAATAGAGCCTTGGACGAGAATCTGCAACTAGCAAAGTTGAAAAACTCCCCAAAGAAACCTTCTATGAGACAGTAGCAAATCGGACTGAGAGAGAGAGAGAGATAAAGTGATTTTATATAATTGTTTTGTGTGTGTGCAAATGCTTGATTTGTGCTCCTTAAATAATCTCTAAAGAATCATGAAGGTGCTAATTCAGAAAAGACTTTGAACAATCACAATTTTTTGTTAACAATTAATGACTGTTAACTTTGAATGGTGCCTCTTGATCACACCTGATCGAATCGTGACCGTTGATCCCATCAACAGTCAGCCTTTAAAGTGCCTCATTGGGCCACACACACATGTGCACACGCATTGCGCAGTAGCAAGCCTCCATACTCTCCTCTCTTTATCCAAGGAGTGTAAATCAGCTCCTATTAAAAAGCCCAAAACAAAACTTATAATTTTCCAATGTGGGACAAGTTAAAAACTATTTTTAGTAAGAAAAGAAGTTATTTTCAAGACATGTATGCAAGTGTAATTTTTCATGTAATTAACCAGTCAAACCCCATTGGATTTAATCTCTAATGAGATTAAAATCCAACATAGACATTATAACATTCTTTCAGCATTTATTCCATCCTTTTACTTTTCTCATCAATCCAGCCACCTCAGCTCGATCTATTGTCTCTTCGTCCATTTACTAACTTAAGCATTGGAGAGTTGAGAGTTATCCTCCAAAAACACACCTTAGGGCTCTCTCCTTCCTTTCTTGTAGTACAAAAAAGTTCAAGATTTCGGTCCCATCCACGGGATGAACACCCGTTCTACAGGTTGTGGCTTGTGGTTAGGGACTGTCCACACTTGATTTTTGATCCCCTACTTCACACTTTTCCTCAAAGGCTGAAACCCTATTGTCTGTTTCACATTTTAATATTTTTGTTAATAAAATATTAATTATTTTACTTGATTTTTTTATTATTTTAAAATTTTAATGTTTTATCAATAAAGTAATATTTAAAATATATTTTCTAAAATTTTTAATTATTGTACTATTATTTTTATAAAAAAATTAATATTTATTGGTTAATATTAATTCATTGATGCATTTTCAATATATTTATCATATAAAATGCACAAATTAGATAATTATGACTAATTGTGTAGGTCAAGGTTTTCGAACCGCCATTGACCCAGATGGTCGGACCGTTCGGCCTGGGAACCATCCAGGCAAGCGGTTCCATTTTACCCCAAACCCGGTTTTTGGCCAAAAACCGTTGAAAAAGTCAACAACCCGTTGACCCGAGCAATCGACTCGTTCAACGGTTTTTTTACCGTTTTCTATTTTTAATTATTTTTTATTTTTTTAATTTGTTTGTCAAAACCGACCGTCCATTCGAACCAGACGATTGAACCGTCAACCCAGAAACCAGTGGCCAGAATGGTTTTATTTCCGAGTCGTTTTTTAAAATGTTGGCGTAGATCATTCATAAATGTAAATGAGATACATGGAATCAAAAAGTATGGTGTGGATTGGTCCACACCACGCCTACAAAACACCACTATGGGTGTGAACTAGTCCAGTCCACACAATTTGTCCATAGTTCAGAACAGTTGTAGAATGTGGTGTAGTGTGAATTGATCCCTGCCAGAAAGTGTGTTGTAGACCAGTTCACACCCCCCAATTTTTCATCCATATTACAGAACACTCTCTTTATTTGGTGGGTCAACTAGAACCACATGTACCTCACCTTGACCGTAGAAGGTTCGAAACCAACATATAACAAGGTCAGGACTGATATACATGGACCACGCTCGGATCAGACTCAACCCATTGACGACCCACTTGTTTGAGATTTGGGAGAGAAAACAGAGTTTAGAGGGTTGGGTCTACCCGGTTTACCCCCACCTCATCTAATCGATCATTCTCTAAGCCTGACCCCTGTTGCCCGTTCAATGCATACAATATCCAATGAACCACAATTAAAAAAAAAAAAAGTTCTCTTTATGTATTTCTTCCCAACCCACATAGCACTCATAGTCCTATTTTAGATTTTCCTTTTCATAGTCAAAATGACACCATATAATCCATTTAACAAGCATGTACGTGAGATGTTATTAATGCAGTCCACGCAGAGTTTTTGCCTGTAAGAGACTCGGGTTCTCGGGCTCTACTTATCAGTGGAAGGGATGCTTTTCTCAAGGGCGGCAGTGATCTGTTGCAGGGAGACCCACAAGGCCAAAAGTTTAAAACACAATAAAAAGGAAGTTAAAAGGAGACCGAGCCAAAGAAAAGGAAAAGATGGAAAGAGACATCGAAAGTTGCATCGCTTCAGCATGATCAAATGCAAAGGGCTTTACTTTGCAGTATATAGATACAAAACTAGACTTACCCAAAAAAAAAAAAAAATCTGCATTTTCGAATAGCCTATCTTCTTTCCCATCTATCCACAACCACTTGTCCATTAGAACTGGTTAAATCTTTAAGTCCAGTTGAAATCCCCAGATGCCCATAAAAAAAAAAAAAGGAATCCCCAAATAATAAGTAAATGGAAAATTTCCAAGACATCCGGACACACCAACACACTCCTTGTTAAGAAAAGCTCCATCTATATCTCCACTCCAATCATTAGTACTACTGTTCAACTTCACCATCAAACCTGACAAACACAATTTTTTTTTTTAATTTCACTATGGCTAAGCATCTGATCCACTAAAGCCTTGAGAAACACCAATGCATTGAGTAAGAGCATATTGACTTGAAAGTCTTCAATGAAATCTGACTGCTCCGCTAGCTTTATCATTGTCATTGAATTGAGAATTTCCATTGCTAAATCAATAAGTAACATATAGTGGAGAAAAGAGTGCCCCCCCCCCTCCCCCTCCCACTCCCAACTTGCCTGATGCCACTAGAAATTCAAAAACAATTTCATATGTGAACTACTCACTCAGCAAAATGAGAAAGGAGACTGAAGATATGCATTTATATATTTACTGTCTCTTCGTCCAGAAACTCATAATTTCTTCTAAGAAGCCTCATTCCATGTGATTATACACCTTTTCAAGATTTTTCTTTACATATATATATATCTTTACATATCAGTCCCACTTCCGCAATTCTAAGCCTCCCAGAAGTTGGCATTTCATCAACAATTCGCCTCCCTTTTACAAGCATCATTGAATAGGACTTGGCCACATCTTGCATCACCGACTTGAGCCTCTTTATTAACACCTTTACAATTAACTTGTAAGAACTTGAAATTAAACCATTAAGGAGAAAATTCTATAATTTTACAACACCATCTTTTTCAAAAAAAAAAAAAAACAAAACAATAATAAACATACTATCAGATCCCCTTTTCAAGTACCCTGAATCGTAAAGCCTGCTGCTAAGCATAAGCCACACAATCATCTTTTGCACTATTCTTACATATCTTTAAATTTCCCATATTAAACCTAAGGCCTTATCCATTTACAACCTTAACAGTCTCAGTTTCATTTTTGCAGAATCCTAAACCTATTATAATTGGAATAAAAAATGCAAACCCAAAACTGACAATTAGAACTCAAAATCCAAACCCAGAACCTATGTAAAACAGTTGAGATGGATTGGGTCCTTCAGGTTGATCTGGATATTTAACAACCCTAAACGTGACTAAAGCATGCATATGTTAATTAACATACCAAAACTACTTTTTCTACTGTTATTGGCTTGATTTATTTAATATAGGATAGCTAATGGAGGTGGTATTGTGGTAATGTACTCGTGTGATATTTCATGGATGGATGGATTATAATAGAAGCTCAAGCAAACGCTTGATGCAATGTTTCAGAGATAGATCAATCTTGATCCAATTGCAGCTTGAAATTTATTAAAAAATAATAAGAAGAATGGGAATAAAAGAAGGGAATTGAGATTCATTAGGTATGTATGTCCTACATGAAACCCGTCAAAATACTATTCTCAATCCCCATTGAATCTTAGTGAAATATATATTATAGTATAAGTACATCTGGACATGCATAATAACATTAGAAATTAAAATTTGGGGAAGATAAATAGCCATACTCATCAACTGAGAAGCAAAGTACAAAATTGGAATTCATTCATATTTTAACAATCAAAATGAGAGACATGATTGCATAGTCATGGAAACTCAACAATGTCAAATTTTACCTCTGAATACCTCAGAAAACTTAACTGGAAATTACAACATCCTGAAATAAATATACCACTCAAAACTTAACCCTAACTCCTAAAATTTGTGCAAGAAGATCCAGCAGTAAGTATTATATCCCAAGTCTCTAGATTTTCTGACATTATGAACCCAGAAAGTCAAGCTCTGCTTGAAATAATTAGCCACAATGTAGATTTATGAACTTTGAGTTTCAAGCTGACTCTGAGGCCTTTATTGACATGACAAATTTACAGAATTTTGGTTGTAGTGTTAGCCACAGCTATACTGACCACATTGGCTCCTAGAGCATTAAGAAGAAGAAAGTCCTCAGCTCTTACTAAACATCTGAATCAGCTCCATTAGATGATCAGGACTCAGGAGAAGCAGCTTATCATGTGAGGATTTTTCACTTGTTTTTTATCCATTCCATTGATGTGATAATGATGAGGGCTCCTTCAATGCAGTTCAGCTGCCTAGCCATGATTCATTCCCAAGATAGGAGATTCCATCCTTTTTTTTCAGATGCATTCTCCTAATGCATATGGATGTTCTAAGGCCATGGGCGCCAATATCATTTAATCAGATTTAAACTTCAAGCTAGCCCTGAGAAAGGAAACAATATCACAATCTATGAGAAAAGACAGCAACATATGATGGTGCACAGGGTGAAAAAATATAGCTTAAAATAATGGATATGCAATGCAACATTCCTTTTTCCTTTTTAGGTTTCTTTTTTTGCTTAAAGTCAATAGTACATCTCATTTTTAAATTCAAGAACAGTAAAGATACAGGTGAAGTAGAAAAAGATGAGAACGTGAGAGGTGGTCTACATTACGAGAAGCACAGATGATAACCATATTTAGGTAGCCCTTTGGCTTCTATGGTCTGAGGAGCTTGTCACACCAAGCACCATAGTTTCCACTGAACATCTGAATTCATCTGCAAGAAAGTAAGTACATTATAAGCATTTGAACAAGGAGCAACAAGATTGCATGAGGAGTTAAGTATGTTATAATTTGCCTCATCTTTAGTAAAATTACTAAAGAAACTTAATTGATCAAGTGACCATAGTGGTAGAATGCTATATCATCACCAATATGCATAAATAAACATAACCAAAATAATAAATAATACAAAATTGGTAAGATAAGGTACACTTTATCAAGTTAGAAGTATTAGCCAGTGGTGGGATGGACAGAGCAATTCTCAAAGGAACTTACCTGGCAGACTGAGTCACATTCTGTGTCTCTGAAGATTCCAAAATTTCATGTTTTCACATAATCCACACCATCGTGCTTCCTTTTATTAGATCTTGAAAATAAGCAGAATTGGGTCCAAGACTTTTTTTGCTTTAGTTGTTGTGCCTTGATACCCCTCTTTGCAACAAGTTCAGCCATGTACTGAACAACTGCCTGAAAGCACAAGACCATGATTGGAATCAGAAAGAAGCAATTGACCCTCAGTTCTCAAGGCATTGCCTAGGCGACTAGGTGCCTAGCCCTATACCTTGACTTATACCAACAAGGTGTCCATCTAGGTGATTAGGTACCCTAGGCAACAAAAATCATAAGGAGGATGTGAGTGCCCTATTAGAATATTATTACCATGACTGCACATTTTTAGTATGTGTTTTGTCCAAACTAATGAGGTCAGATAGATAGCGATCTTAGGGTTTTGAGAAGAGAAAAAAGAAAGAAAGAGAATGATAGAAGATGTTTCTTCTCTTTTTCTAGGACTACACTCTCTCTCCTATATTAAATAGAACAGCAACTTACCCCTTCTTGTTTTTGTTTTTTTTTTCTTGCTCTCTATCTAAACTTTTCTTGATATAAAATTATAGCCTTCTTTTGCCATTAATTTGATATGAAATTCCTCTATTAAATACTTATTATATTATAGTATTGTTAATAAAAAGAATTGCTGCATAGAAAACTACCAGCGGCCATAAGAAGTGATTTGTTGCAAGTTGAAGGGGCTAGAAGGGCTAAGGGTAGACCAAGAAAAACATGATTTAAGAGGTAGTTAGAAATGATTTAAGTGCTCTTAATTTTTAATAATGGATATGACATTAAACAGAATGGAATGGCGAAACAGGACTCATGTAGTCGACCCCATATAGTTGGAATAAGGTGTGGATGATGATGATGAATAAAAAGCATTGCTATTTTTTTAATTTGCATGCATGATGAATGTTATATAAAACTAGGGAGCTAACCTAGAATTTGATTTTCTTATTTTATAAAATTCTATCACCTAGGCGACTAAGCACTCCACTGTTGCCTAGAATCACCTATATACCTTAACAACTATGACTATGAGTGGCAATGTGAAACCACAAGACTAAAAGCAAACAGTACCTGTGCACCCATTTCTACTATATGCCTTGGTGGAACTTCTAGAGGATTTTCTTCAGCATGAAGCACACGTAACCGTGACAACATCCCAAAAGAGTCAGGAAGGACATGTATCTGATTATTGCTGATATCCAACTCTTCTAGCATTTCAAGGTTCCCAATGGATCTTGGTAAAGACTGCAGGTCAGCAAAATTATTTCCTACATTCATCTTGACAAACGTGGTTACAAGGCACAAGCTCTCAGGCACAGACTCAAGTTCATTGAAACTGACATCAAGCTCCTTCAGGTTGGACAAGGATGCCATCGTGGTAGGCAGTTGTTTAATGTTATTATACCTGACAGACAGAATCTCTAGTGACGCAATCCGTCCCACTGCTTCTGGTAAGGCTTTAAGCCGGTTGTAATCTGCCCGGAGCTCCATGAGGAATGTACACTGGCCAATAGTATGTGGGATTTCTTCTATGTCATTAGTCTCCAAATTCAACTTCTTCAGGCTGACAAGGGTTCCAATTGAATCTGGAAGCCATGATAACCTGTTTGAGCTCAGGTCAAGCTCCTCAAGGCGGGCTAATTTACCAAATGTAAATGGTAGAGAGGTTAGCTGGTTTCCCCTCAGATCTAGATAGACCAGGCTAAAGAGATCTCCAATGGATTCAGGTAGTTCAGAAATCCTGTTAGAATGCAGGTCAAGTTTTGCTAAGGAAGAGAGACCTCTAATTGTAGCTGGCAGTGCTACAATCCGGTTCTCAGATAAATCAAGGTTGATCAGACTCGATAACTTCCCTATTGACTCAGGCAACCACTCAATTTGATCCACCAACTTATTTTGTAGGTTCAGATCCCGTGTTCCTTTCTTTGAAGATACCTCAATTAAACTGGCTAGTTTTATCAAACTCAGTTTCTCACCCTCTTGACCTACAGAAATCATGGTTAAAAAGAATTATAAGGATATGCTAAGCATAATAGTAATAATTTGAACCTTATAATCAAACACTCTCAAAGACCAAATTCTTTAAGATGTATGGCATGTTTCAACAAACAGATAAAGAATTGCATGTATATCTGAAATATCGGAACTCTGCATACCCATTTTAACGTAATTCAAGGAAAAAAATAAAAGAAGTCCCAACCCTTTAATATATCCCATCTATACACTATAGGGCATACAGGCATTTCGAGCAAGGAAATTGAGGGAAAAAACAACAGAAAACCCAAAATCAAAGAAGAAATTCAGACTTACCCGAATTGCTTGGAGGTTTGAGTGAGAAATCAACAATCTCGGGTCGAGATTGGATCGTCACTCCAGCTCCAACTCCATCAACATAAAAATCTGACTTCGCTTTTTTTACATAATTGTCATCTCTTGTAAACAGACCAGAACTTCTTACCGATTCTTTTTCAGAGAATAACCCAGAGGAAGCCACAGAAGTGACCGAAATTTTGAGACCATTTGTAGAAAAATTGCTTGAAATTGCAGAAGTGGAACCATTAGAGTATTCCACTTGGCTAGAATTTGAGGGAGAAGTAAGGCATTTCGATGCTCTCTGAATAAATCCATCAAACAAAATATGAACGGTTTCGAGATCCAGCAATTTCATAGCTTCTCCTTTCTGCTCTTTACCCTGAAAGTACACCAAGCTTTTCTGCATCTCTTGCAATACAAAAAACAACTCTTCTGGGACTTCGGGGCTCTTTCTCTGCTTTGAAATAGCATCCAACCTCATTTGTTCTTCCTTCTCAACGTTCCGGATCAAATCTTTAGCAGCTTCAACCTCATCTAAACCAGGTCGAGTGGGTAGGGATCTGTGAATCCTCATGATCTCTTCAACAACTTCATCGACGGATTGTAGAGAAGAACCCATGTTGTTAAAATTCACACAATCCAAGTCAGAAAAAAAAAATAATAACTAAATAAACTCAGTTTTAACCGAACAACACCATTCTAGAATAAGCCTTCCACATGGAAACAACAAAAAAAAGATCAACACTCTTTATTCAGCTCCAATATTTCCTCAGCTTCCTTGGAAATATTTCTGAAATGCTTGTTAGGAACTATCGTTATAAATCTGGGGAAGCTAAATCCAACATCTATGAACTGAACAACAAAAAACCAGATCAGAAAAAAAAAGGAAAAAAACAAATTATACTGCACAAATTACAAAAAAGAGCACCTATGAATCGGAACTCTTCGCACCAGAAAGACTAAGAACAACTTAAGTAAAAACTACACTGTGTGACGGCAGAATACAGCAAAACTAAAAACGGATGACCACGAATAGGCGCACCCATTTTTCTTAAAAAAATAAAAAAAAAAACGGGATTACAAAATTGCCTAATTTCTGTGAAAGCTCTGCTCTGTGTTCCTCTATTTCCTTTACACCACAAAGAACTGTGGCATGAGAATCCTACTGGAGTCTGAAGCTGCTCCTCAGTCCTCACAAACAAAAGATTGCATATGTATAGTGTACGTATACAGGTCGAAACAGCTGGAAGTAAGCCTCTATGCCTTCCTCCCTCCCGAAATCCTGCGAATTTTTAATTTTTTTATCTTTCTCAAAACATCCAGCTATTTCCATCACTGCAACTGCTCTTTACACCCACTTCGGTTTTTCTTTTACTGGGTTTGTTTTGTTTTGCTGAACAATCAATGAAAGAAAACCGTGACCGTGTGAATACGATTAAGACCAACCCGTTATTAACAAAAACATCAACATCGAATTTTCATGGGAAAATTCCCGATCAGTACCTGTAGTTTTGCTTCAGTGACAATTTGATCCCTAAATTTTAAAATGCGATAATCTAGTAACTGAAGTTTTAAAATGTGATAATCCATTACCGGTTAATCACTTGTTAAGTGACATTTGAAAAGTTAAAAATGTTCTTCAAAGGCCATCTAATTCTCTTTATCAACTATCCAAATATTGACAATAAAATGAACGGTTCCAAATTCTAAATTATTCTATTCAATCTAAAATTTGGGATTGCTCATTTTATTGTTAATGTTTGGATGGTTGATAAAGAGAATTAGATGGCATTGTTAGGGCATTTTTGACTTTTCAAATGTCACTTAATGGTTGATTAACGAACTGGTTAACGGTAGGTACTGAATTGTCACATTTTAAAGTTCGGATATTGAATTGTTACATTTTAAAAGTTCGAATACTAAATTATCACATTTTAAAGTTTGGGGATCAAATTGTCACTTGAACCAAAGTACGGAGTATTGATCCAAAATTTTCCCAATTTTCATCTTCGTCTCTTATTGGAGATGAATCCATGTCCCAGAATTGCCCTAATTTCTACCATATAATGACCATTTCACCCTTGTCAGTGGCAATGCCAGTTTGAGACGAGTCCTTGCGCACTGCTCTGGCCTGGCACGCACTCATTAATCGTCATCCGATTTTACAATTTACTGAGAAACTAAAAGAATATTAGGCTAAAATATAAAGACTCCTAATGACCGTATCTACTCCTTATACATGGTGCTCATAGATACATCGCACCGTGCATTGGGGATATTTACTATACTTATATATTATTATTTTTGGGAAATGTTCCCAATGCACAGTGGGATGTATCTGTGAGGAAGTTTGTGAGGCACCTTGTGTGAGGAGTAGATCCCAATTCATGTAATATGGGCAAATGATAAATACAGCATGAACTTTTATTTACAACAAAGATCCCTTAAATTTTCAATTTGCAACAAATTCCTCATAAAAACATTTTTATTCAATTGTTTAAGATTTTTTAAAAATTTTAAATCACCCTTTTCTTATTTATTTGAATGATTTATGATTAGATCAATTTTCTATTTATAACATTAAAGTCCCTCTCGATTGCTCATTTGCTCCAATATATCTTTTCAGACTTTTGGTTGAATTCAATATTCAAAGTTTTAAAGAAATGGTAAAGGTTTTTTTGATAGATATAAATTTATGGTTTCATTTGTTTTTTTCTTAATTTATTAGAAAAAAGAATGAATAATTTTATATTTTGAGATGAAGTCGTGCATGTGAGTAAAATGAATGGAAAACTTTTTTTTGCCAATAAAATGATGTTTGTTGTTTAACTGGTTTCATTGAAGAAAATGGATATTTTCGGTTAAATAAAATTTAACAAAAAAGATAAAAAGAAAGGGAAATTTTCTGATTATTACCTGTACTTTGGACCTAGTGCCATTTTAGTCCCTAAATTTTAAAATATGATAATTCAGTATTTAAAGTTTTAAAATATACTAATTTAATACATTTCGTTAACTAGTCATAAGGATTTGAGATTATTTATTTTTTATTAATAAAATTTTTAAATATCACTTAACGTCGATTAACTGGATTGGCACATTTTGAAAATCAGTAATCAAAAGTGACACTAGCTAGGTACACGATACTAATGAAAAATTTTCAGTGGATATACTGACAAAGTCAGAGGTATTTATGGTAAAGTGAAATTCAATAGGTTTTTCAGAGGTATTTACAAGGGAATCTTTGTAATTGACGTCATTACATGGTGATCACAACGCTCAACCTCATCTACGAAACATAAATTCTTCAGTACCTAAATATAAATTATTTGGTACCTGCTTGTTCTAACCGTAGGACTGGTGTCAAATCGAATGCATCAATTCAAATCAAATAAGTGTTAAAATAGATCCCAATTCGACAATGAAGATACCAACGGACAGCCAATGCTGGTGCTGGTTAGGAAGTAGATGGCAAAGAAAAGAAAAGATGTCCACGTGTTATTTAAAGGACACGTATCACATCCACTTGAACCATGTCCAAGGTCGGCCAGCCACATCCAGCTGGAATTGTCTCCAATTACCCTACGCGATTAGGCTACTTGAAGGCCCACTGAACGACTTCTTAAGTTTTAATTTTAATTTTTAATGGAAGGGATCTGGGCCCAACCCAACTCAAAAAACGCAAGTGAATCGTCAAACACTCCTCAGTAGTCAGTCCTCACTCACTTTCGCTTCTATTATCAGAGTCATAGATTTTCCCATTTTTATATTATAATAATTGTGAATTGTGATGATACCATATGTCGAGAGTCTAGCAAAAAAGGTTGCACCTATGATCTGTGTCACCCACCGGTAATGTTATATTGGTATCCACGATCAATGCCGATCCGATCCGATCGCCGAGAGAAGGATGGTTGAATAGAGATCACAAATTAACCTGGGTGAATTGGATTAGAATTAGATGTGAAGTGAAGGTAGGTAGGGGATGGGGATGATGAGGATGGATCATCAATGCGGCGCGGTTCACCTTTCAGTGAAGTGACAATTCGTTGATGAATGATGATGCTGGCAAGTGACAATTCAATTTTGGCTATTTCAAGTAACCATAAAACCAGGAATATAACAACACATAAGGTGATTTGCTGGGGTACCTACCTAAAGCCCCCAAAACGATCCTATTTAAACTTTTTTTCTTTAATTAGGTCCTGTTCATTTGACAGAAATGCATTTACTTATAAGACTAACGGACGGGGCCATGCGTTGGACGGGTTCGCTTCGCTCATAAACTATATTTGAATTACAGACTTGTTCAAATTTGAGTTCGGTTCAAGTTAATATTTCGAGTTCGGCTATCTTTCATCGTAGGTCTCTTAATTATTCGAGGTGTCGAGCTGAGGTGTTAGATTGAGGTCTCCTTCAGCTATTGAAGTGTCGAGCTGAAGTTTCCTTAGCAGGTGAGGTGTTGAGCTAAGGTCTTCCTTAGTTGACAAGGTGCCAAGCTGAGGTCTCCCTCAGTTGTCGAGGTGCTAAGTCGAAATCTCCCTCAGTGATTGAGGTGTCAAGCCGATGTCTCCCTCAGTGGTCGAGGTGTCGTCTAGCTTGAGCTCAATTAGAATTAGAGACTTGAGCTTGAGTTCAGAAGTTCGAGCTCGGCTCGGCTCGAACTCGACTACCTTTGATTGCAGGTCCCTTAGTAGACGAGATGCCTAACTGAGGTCTCCCTCAGTTGGAGAGAGAGTGACATTCTTGTAATTTATAAGGAGAGAGAGATGGCATTATTGTAATTTGCAAGGTTTAAAATATCGTAACGTATCGGCTCGTATTGATACATATGGTTTCCATAAGAAATCGATACACGGAACATGTAAAATTCATGTGTTTCGTTTCTTTTTGTATGTATCGGGCAATATGGGCCTATATCGGGCCATTCTGAATCTGTATCGGCTGATACAAATCGAATCGTTTCGGTTCCCTTTGTTCAATTAATCTAAATTTAATACCGAATCTCGTAAAAATTACAAATATTAACAATAGCAAGACTCAAACCCTAGTCACTAGATTTTAATGCACATAATTTTGCCACTAAACCAGTCCAATTTGTTTGATGTAATTACATGCATTTTTAGTTTTAAGTCAATTGTTTTTCTTTTCTTAGTGGTGCTTATTAATAAATGCTGAAATTAATTATTAAAATTTATATATTAATAAATATTAAGATAATTATATCGGTTATGAAAATTGATGTGTATACATTCATATTTTAGTTTTTTTTTTTGTTTTTTCACATTTTAGTTATTCCATCATTTTTCAACAACTACTAATTTTGTCTCAATATGTCACATTTTATGTAAAAATTAAATTATGATTTTTTACATTTAAATGACTTATTTACAATCATATAAAACATGTAAGCATTGTTAATAATATATTTCTTATGATTTATTTGAATTTCTTAACATATTTATGCGTATCTTGATTTTTTGTCTATAATCATGCGTATCCCGATACGTCTCTTAAAATTGTCTTTTCGATACACCTTGTGTTTCTAATACTTTAAACCTTGGTAACTTGTAAGAAAAAGAGAGAGAGAGAGTTGGTAGGAGAGAGAGTGACATTCTTGTAATTTGAAAGAAAAATAGCAAGAGAGAGATAGAATTGATAAAAGAGTATGGCACTCTTGTAATTTGAAAGAAAAAAAAAAGCAAAAGAGAAAGAATTGGTGGAGAGTGCTATTCTTGTAATTTATAAGAAAATAAGGCAAAAAATATTGTTAAATTCCATTTCCCTCATTCTCACTTACATACACTTGGTTATGTTTATGTTTATTAACGATGCCACATAGGCACCCCATCGACAAATGCCTCATTAATTGCATTTATGTGTACCAAAATTTGCAAAAACTTTGGTTTTTGTGCACCTCTCCCATTTAAGGAAGCTTCATTTTGGAGCTTCTTGAAATGGGTAGGCGTTTATCGGCATTTTGCTAATGTGGTGCCTATTGGCACCTATATGTCATAAACGCTTTCATTAAATGTGTTTCTCGGTTTTGCAATCACACAAGTACAAAATGTTTATTGAATAAACGTAAACGGAACCAAACACCCTCTAGGTAATTATGGCGGTATTTGGCATCGATCCCGTTGTTTCAGAAAACAATTCCACGTCTGCACCATATAAGAAAAAATGGTGTGCCAAGAAACACAGTTTTGTTTGGAACCATTGTTCGGAAAAACAGCTATGCATTGGAATTTGGGAAAGTGTGGTTTGAGAAAATGTCAAATTTGGTGTTTTGTCATTTTTGGAACTGTTGCTGCCAACTGTACCATGACATGGCATTATGTAAAGTAAACTATTGGACATGCGAACCAATACTGAAAACAATTATAGAGCATTGATACCAAATAAAACCGGTAACTTTCCCCAGAA